CACCTCCACCACTCGAGGAAGTCCTTTGATGTACCAGCTGCAACCATGGTACTGGCCGTCTTGTGTGGCGGGATACTGCGCGGATCTGAATGCTTTATCACCTCTTCGTATCTCACTGCTGCAGTTCGCATTGATCGTGCAAAGTGGGTCTTGGAATTATGCGCAGCTATTTCCACATGCTCAAATAGATCAGGATGAGCACCACCAACTGTTTTTCCAAGAGGGCTATCCCATAAAACAAGATCCCCCACAACCTTCTCTCGCTGAGGTGCCAGCCTCCCTTCTCGGTGACTTATTAGGAGCTCAACCTCACTGGGACGCTGCAGATCCTCTACTCGGACATCGGGGAAGAAGGAGTGAAGCTTTTCAGGTTCGACTTCTTTGTGCACCTTGGCAATTTCATCCAAACCATAGCAAACAAGCTCATGTGACATTTCCACACCCGGTGCCGTCTTAATGCGGACTCTGAGAAGGTAACGTTTTGTCTTGACAGACAAGGTCATCCCACCAACTCCATACAGCATTAAGGTCACTTTCTCACTTCTCAGTCTGAGTCGGTCAGCAGCTTTGTGAGTAATATAATTAGTGTCAGAAGCAAGGTCTATTAGGGTTCCAATCTTCTGACCTGCATTTGCTGTGACCTCCAGTAACATCAAAATGACTGGAAGCTCTTCAAGATCATTGTGTGCCATTAGCTGAGATGGTGGTGTGTTGCCAACTCGGGCACTCCCATTTGTGAACGCCTTTCTGCACCGCTCTGCCATGTCTGGAGATAACTCCATCAGGAATGGTTCTTGCTCTGTGGTTAGATTGCTTTTCCTGTCACCGCTTTTCCTCTCTTTTCTTTTGTCAGTTTCTCTTGGGCAAAGAAGGTAATGGTGATCGTTTGGACCTCCTTTTTTGCATTCTTTGTTCCTGCAGATGTATGTATTCGTGCAATCTCCCTCTGTATGCCAGCCAAGACAGATTCTGCATGCACCAAGCCTTTTCAGAGTGACCTTTTTCTCTGGAACACTCAGTGATTTGAATTTTCTACAAAAGAAAAGCTTGTTGAAATGTTTTCCTTCACCACATACAGCACATGTTCTCTCAAGTTCTTTTTCTGTAGTTTTGGTGGTAGCATATTTCTTTTCTTGTCTTCGTGTAGTATAGTCTGCTTTGTCTACAACTCTGAGTTGTTCCAGCCTTTCTAGTACACCCTCTTGTTTTTTCAAGAATGTGAGAAGCATGTCAAAGTGGTTATCAGATTCCACTCCATTACTGGGTTCTAACATGAAACTGAGCCAGTCACGCTTCACAAAGTCGGGGATCTTACTCTCAATTGTTCTTATAACGAGTGGATTTTTAATTGCGCCAACATTGTTCAGATCTGTCAGGTCAGCAAGGGCTTTCTCCACTGCTTGAATCAGCTCAATCACTTTGCGTGGCTGATTTCCTCGCACAGGTGGTAATTTTTCAAGGTCTTCAAGGATCTCAATAGCTATTGCTGATTTGTTTCCATATCTGTTTTCCAGCACTCTGAACATGTCCTCAGAAGAGGAGCAAGATGACAATCTCAGGTCTTTTACAAGTTTGTCTTCCACACTGTTCAGCAGTTGGATTTTTCTGACCTCAGCTGACCCGGTTGGTTCACCCTGCTTTTGCAGATTTTCCCAGTCCTTTCTCCATCTATAAAAGTCTCTTTTGTCTCCACTGAATTTTGGTAGTGAAGTGGGCTTTATCTTCACGATTGGGATCATTGGAGTAGGTGTTGCAGGTCCCCCATTAAAACCAGTAGCTGCTTCTCCAGTCTGCTCTGCAACCCGCCTTGCGGTCACAAACTCTGCCTTCCTTAGCTCAAGTTTGAGTTTCAGAGTTTTTAATGCAGCAATTCTGTCATTGAGAGTCCTCCGCTCCTCTCCAGGAATCCATCTTTCCCAGGTCAGCATTGTATCAGTGGTGTCTTTGAGTCTTTTCTCCAAAATCTCCATATGAACACCATAACTCTCCACATTTATACTGAGAACAGGTAAATCACATGTCCTTTCCCCAATCTCTTCAGCTTCCAAGATGGATGTTTGGACTTCAGTCTTCCCATATTTTGACCACAAGGTTGCTTGCACAGTCTCTCTTATGAGTTTGAATTTTCCTTCAGCTTCTTCGGCTGTTTTTTCAATCTCTTCCTGTTGTTCAAACAATTGTGGGTCTTTCTCTTTTAATTCATCACATAGTAATGCAGCCAAGTAATTGTCATTAGACTCAAAAAGTTCTGTGAGTCGTTCAGATAGTTTATTGAATTCATCCAATATCTCTTCTTGTACCATACTGTCCAAGTCTCTTGTGACCATGTTAACTTGTCTTGTGAAGAGGCTTTTTGCAATAGTGCGCTCTTTTTTGAGCTGTTTGATTGACTTGTCTTCAGCCATGTTTCCTCTTGCGTCCTCCTTAGCACTTGGATTAAGCTTTTTGCTTTTCCCACTTTGTGCTTGCACGACTGGTTTTCGACTGTCAAGTCTTTATTTCAGGAATGCAGGTTCAACTTGAAAAAACCAGGGAAACAGACACAAGTCTCAACTCGGCTTGAAGTTTTTATTGAAATAATTTGATTATTTTAGTTGTAGTAGTAGTAGTAGTAGTGGTATTTGTAGTTGTTGTAGCAGTAGCAGTAGCAGTAGCAGTAGCAGTAGCAGTAGCAGGTCGAAAACCTTCAAAAAGACAAACGTGTAATAAAATTAAATTTACATTTCACAGTGTCAGTCATAATCCATTTTACTTTTAATTAATACACTTCAATTATGATATTATCTATATATAATATATATTATTTATTTATATATATATATATATATATATATATAATATTTACTGTATTTTATAATATCCAGTATACATTTCACACATGAACCCAAATAGCTATCATTTTAACCCATCATTTTACCAATAATTTTTCAATCCTATAATTAACTTTTTATACGGTTTTAACTGAGTGCATGAAATGTAATATTTGAAGATACATAAATACATTGTTTTTTAATTGCTAAACATATTTATATATTTAACTAGAGCTAAACTTAGGATTTACATCATTTTCTTTAAATCAGATTTACTAAATAAGCAATTTAGTTATTTAACTTAACTCTTAGCATTTTTAAACTTAAATTTAATTTATTTACAGTTTCTTTTAAATTTTAAACTAATTTTAAAGTTAAATTTACTCACCAGTAGTGTCTCTGTGTTTCCCCTCACATTCCTTGGTTTGGTCTGATTTTTTTGCACACACCTGGGCCTCATTAAATGATTACAGAGACACACCTGGTTACCTGGTTTTTGGTCTTGCTGCCATCTACTGGCCAGACTCAAAATAACCTCATCAACTAATAAAAAGGGAGGGGAGGAGGGGGGAGGAGCGGTGAAGAGGAAGAGGAGGGAGCAGAGGTGAGAGGAGACAGGCTCAGGAGTGGAGGTGAAGACTTGGTGCAGGGGCTGGGCTTTTTGACTTGACAACAACAACAATGACAACAACAACAACACTGACAACAACAACACTGACAACAACAACACCAACAACAACAACAACACTGACAACAACAACACCGACAACAACAACACTGACAACAACAATGACAACAACAACAACACTGACAACAACAACACCGACAACAACAACAACAACTGACAACAACAACAACAATGACAACAACAACAACACTGACAACAACAACACCGACAACAACAATGACAACAACAACACCGACAACAACAACACTGACAACAACAACAACAACAACACACAACACTGACAACAACAACACCAACAACAACAACACTGACAACAACAATGACAACAACAACAACAATGACAACAACAACAATGACAACAACAACACCAACAACAACAACACTGACAACAACAATGACAACAACAACAACAATGACAACAACAACACAACAACAACACTGACAACAACAACAACACTGACAACAACAACACTGACAACAATGACAACAACAACAACAAAAACAACAATACGGATCTTTTCTGACAGAAACTCTGAGTGTGGAGACGCCTGGTACCTCGCCCCAGCCCTCCTCTCTCTCTCTCTCTCTCGCTCTCTTTATTCTGGTCTTTTCTTTTCTCTCTCTTCTCTCTCTCCTCTTTCTTTCTTGTGTGTGGTCTTGTCTTTCCTCTGCCTCTCTCTCTTATGTCGTCTCTCTCTTTCTCTCTTTTCTGTCTGGTTTGTGTCTCTCTCTTCTCTCTCTTCTTTGTCCTTTTGTTTTGTCGTTTGTCCCTCACAACAGAACACTGACCCTTTGTGCTTCTGAATGTCGTCACTTCTGGACCTTCTCTCCCTCTCCTCTTTTCTCTCCTCTTTTCTCTTGTCTCTTTGTGAATCAGAATTTTTTTTTCTGTCTGTGTCTTTTGTCGTAAACACTGTGGTCGTTCTGTTAGTTCAGATAAACATTATTTGGTCTCTGGTTCAACTCCCGGGTCTTTCTGTGGAGTCTGCATGTTCTCCCTGTGTCTGTGGAGATGGTTCTGTTGCTCCTGAAGGTTTAACCCAGAGACACTGAAGGACGAAAGTCAAACACAGAGAGACATTTCCCAACAGGGACAAGAAAGTCCACCTCCAACTTTGGGTTCAGTTCTGGTTTAGTCCTGGTTTAGTCCTGGTTTAGTTCTGCTTAAAGCCCAGTTTTTGATCGTGCGTCAAATCGTCTGTCGATCGACGTGCGCCTCAGAATTGTTGTACCTGAGCGTGGAAGCATCACAGATCTGGTCTGTGATTGTTCGTCTCTAAACACATTTCCTGTTCTCCACTTTCCCGTTTCATTTTGTAACACAAACTCCAGGTTTAAATCGTCGCCTCCTGGTGGTGCGGAGGTGAGTGAGCGGAGCATAAACCTCGACACAGATCGTGAATCAAAATAGACGGCGACCGAGAGCGACGAGTCGACACGGAAACGTCCTTCGTGTTTTGGCCCTGACCTTTTGTCCCGTGTGTTTCTGTGTTTTGTTCCAGTGGGTTCTGGCCTTCGAGATCTTCATCCCTCTCGTCTTGTTCTTCATCCTCCTCGGACTCCGGCAGAAGAAACCTGCTCTGCCCGTCAAAGAAGGTGACCTCCTCTCTGACCCGACTCTGACTCTGACCCGACTCTGACTCTGACCTGACTCTGACCCGACTCTGACCCGACTCTTGACTCTGACCCGACTCTGACCTGGTTTTGTCCCAAGTCCAGATCTGAACATTGAGAATTGACCAATCAGACGCCTCCTCTCAGTGTTTTTTTTGTTTTTTTAATATATTTGTCTGTTTTTCCCCATTGTTCTTGAGACCTGCACATCTCTGTTTATGTGAATTGCGGTGGATTGGAAACTCGTCTTATTAGTTCAGTCGCCGATTAAAAAGACAGAAGTGAAAGTAGTTTTATTTTTTTGTTAGTATAACTACTTTTTTGTTTAAATTCACTTATGATGATTATTATTTTTCTTATGAGTAATGTTTAAAAGTAAAACTACTCTCTACTTTTGAGAGAAAATCAAACTGCTCTGAGGCGTCGGTCTTTCGTGGCGCTGAGGGCCGACGGTCGGGGGCCCCCGGGTTTGGGGCCCGAGGCGGCAGCTCCGCCTCTGAAACTCTCCGAAAATAACTTCAAAGTGAGAAATGACGTGTCCCTGAAGATCATTTTACTGGACGAGTTCTCTTCAAATAATCAACGTCGAGACGAGAAGATTACAAGTACCGGAGTAATCAGAGTACAAATGATGAGTAACTGTATTCAGTTACAGTTACTGTTTCAGTGAGTGGTAATTGGATTACAGTTACTTTGGTGAAATAAATGGATTACACAGAGGACTAAACCAGGACTAAACCAGGACTAAACCAGGACTAAACCAGGACTAAACCGGGTCTAAACCAGGACTAAACCGGGTCTAAACTAGGTCTAAACCAGGTCTAAACCAGGTCTAAACCAGGACTAAACCGGGTCTAAACTAGGTCTTAACTGGGTCTAAACCAGGACTAAACCGGGTCTAAACTAGGTCTAAACCAGGTCTTAACCAGGTCTAAACCAGGACTAAACCAGGTCTAAACCAGGACTAAAACAGGACTAAACCAGGTCTAAATCCTGCTGTGTGGACGTGTTTCTTCGTCTTTTATCAATAATATTTTTAATTTGGTTCAGTAAAGTTTGGACTTTTTATTTTCTTTTATCAGACAAAACTTCTTATGTGAAGATTTCCTCGTCTTTGTTTCTCTACAGCAAATCAAGTAATCCAAAGTAATCAGATTACATTACTCACTTTAAGTAATTTAATGGATTCTGTTACAAACTACATTTTGAGATATGTAATCTGTAATCTGTAGGGGATTACATTTTAAAAGTAAACTTCCCAACACTGAACGTCTCAGAGCGAGAGAGTCGATCATAAACCTGAAAACAACATGAAGTTTTATTTTGTGATTTGTTTTATTTTGTGATTTGTTTTATTTTGTGATTTGTTTTATTTTGTGCAGATTCTGACTATGATCTTGTGTTGTTTGTTTTGTGCGTTTGTGTCGCTGGAGCAGTGTGTAAGTGCCTCCTGAACCACAACCTCAGATACAATAAAACTACTACTGCTTCAAACACTGCTGTACTTAAACTACTTATACATGTACTGCAGTACTACTACTACTACTCCAGATACTGCAGTATTTGTTCTGTTGCTCCTGTACTGTCCTTAACCCTGTGACCTCCGACCTCTGACCTTTGTCTTCTGTGTGTTTAACCTCCTCAACTGGAGCAGCTCATAACCACCACGCCCCGCCCCCTGACTCCTCCCCCTACCCCCTGACTCCTCCTCTGTCCCCTGACTCCGCCCCCCGCCCCTGACTCCTCCCCTACCCCCTGACTCCCCCTCCCCCTGACTCCTCCCCTGTCCCCTGACTCTGCCCCCCGTCCCTGACTCGTCCTCTGACTCCTCCTCCCGCCCCTGACTCCGCCCCTGTCCTCTGACTCCTCCTCTGTCCTCTGACTCCTCCTCTCTGTGACCATGGAGATTTTTATCAAAAAAAAAAAAAAAAAATTGAGATTTGAGTTTTTAATTGACATATTTTTATTGAGGCTCCGGAGTCGATCCTTTTGCACCGTGAGCCGACAGAAAATCCCAGTGACACACGACAAACCCCGAACGACAGACTCTGCTCACAAACCTGCGCTGAAACGGCCGGTGTGTTTTGTGTCAGTCAGTTGTGTGTCAGTGTGCGTCGTTGTGCGTCAGTGTGTGTCAGTTGTGCGTCAGTGTGCGTCGTTGTGCGTCAGTGTGCGTCAGTGTGCGTCAGTTGTGTGTCAGTTGTGTGTCAGTTGTGTGTCAGTGTGTGTCAGTTGTGTGTCAGTGTGTGTCACTGTGTGTCAGTTGTGTGTCAGTGTGTGTCAGTTGTGTGTCAGCTGTGTGCGTCAGTTGTGCGTCAGTGTGTGTCAGTTGTGCTTCAGTGTGTGTCAGTTGTGTGTCAGTGTGTGTCAGTTGTGTGTCAGTGTGTGTCAGTTGTGTGTCAGAGTGTGTCAGTTGTGTGTCAGTGTGTGTCAGTTGTGTGTCAGTTGTGTGTCAGAGTGTGTCAGTTGTGTGTCAGTTGTGTGTCAGTTGTGTGTGTCAGTTGTGTCAGTTGTGTGTCAGTTGTGTGTCAGTGTGTGTCAGTTGTGTGTCAGTGTGTATCAGTTGTGTGTCAGTTGTGTCAGTTGTGTCAGTTGTGTGTCAGTTGTGTGTGTGTCAGTTGTGTCAGTTGTCAGTTGTGTGTCAGTGTGTGTCAGTTGTGTGTCAGTGTGTGTCAGTTGTGTGTCAGAGTGTGTCAGTTGTGTGTCAGTTGTGTGTCAGTGTGTGTCAGTTGTGTGTCAGTGTGTGTCAGTTGTGTGTCAGTGTGTCAGTTGTGTGTCAGTGTGTGTCAGTGTGTGTGTGCAGTTGTGTGTCAGTGTGTGTCAGTTGTGTGTCAGTGTGTGTCAGTTGTGTGTCAGTGTGTGTCAGTTGTGTGTCAGTGTGTCAGTTGTGTGTCAGTTGTGTGTCAGTTGTGTTGTTGTGTGTCAGAGTGTGTGTCAGTGTGTGTCAGTTGTGTGTCAGTTGTGTGTCAGAGTGTGTCAGTTGTGTGTCAGTTGTGTGTCAGTTGTGTGTCAGTGTTGTTTGGTTGTAATCGTTGATGAGTTGAACAGAACGGCTCGACACAACGACACGGAGATGAAGAAAACTGGGACATTTTCTCATTTTTCCTCCATTTTGTCAAACTTACGACTGAGAACAGAACCAAAGAAAGTTTCGTCACATGTTTCCAAACGTCTCCTGGTTTGTGACGTAAACGTGAACAGAGACGATTTTGGAAACGGTTTTTCAGTTTCACTCGACTGAATCTGAACTTTAAAGTGTTTGACGAGGGAGGGCATCTGACACACAAACAAACGCACACTTTTTGTAGGTAACAATTCAGTCTTTGTCGTTTGAATGGTACTTGGGTTTGGTCAATTTATAATTTCTCTGATTTTAAATAATTGTTTTGTCTAAAAAGTGCTGCATAAATAATCCAAGAGTTGATAAAAACCTCCGGTCGAACTAAACAGTTTGTGCGTGGGATTAAGTGTTGTAATAACTGTGTAATAACAGGTGTATAAAGTGTTGTTGTGTGTGTAATAACATGTGTATAACCTCTTTGTGTTGTTGTGTTGTTGTTGTGTAGCGTTCTACAGCGCCGCCCCTCTGACCAGCGCCGGGATCATCCCCGTCATGCAGTCGCTCTGCCCCGACGGACAGAGGGACGAGTTCGGCTTTTTACAATACAACAACTCCACGTGAGATGCTCCTGTCTGCTCCTGTCTGCACCTGTCTGCTCCTGTCTACTCCTATTTGCACCTCTCTGCACCTGTCTGCTCCTCCTCTTCCTCATCTGACATTCTTTTTTCTTTTGTTCCTTTTGTTCCTTGTGTTCATTGTGTTCCTTTTGTTTCTTGTTTCTTGTTCCTTTTGTTCCTTGTTTTTGTTCTTGTGTTCTTGTTCCTTTTGTTCCTTGTTGTTCATTGTGTTCCTTTTGTTTCTTGTGTTCCTTTTGTTCCTTGTGTTCCTTGTGTTCCTTGTGTTCCTTTTGTTCCTTTTGTTCCTTGTGTTCCTTTTGTTCCTTGTGTTCCTTTTGTTTCTTTTGTTCATTGTGTTCCTTTTGTTCATTGTGTTCCTTTTGTTCCTTTTGTTTCTTTTGTTCATTGTGTTCCTTTTGTTCATTGTGTTCTTTTGTTTCCTTTTGTTCCTTTTGTTCTTTTGTTCATTGTGTTCTTTTTGTTCATTGTGCTCCTTGTGTTCCTTTTGTTCCTTTTGTTTCTTTTGTTCATTGTGTTCCTTTTGTTCCTTGTGTTCCTTTTGTTCAGGGTGACTCAGTTGTTGTTGAGGATTCAGGAGGTGGTGGAGCAGAACCGGATCTTCTCGTCAGATGGATCTGCTCTGGGTTCTGAGCTGGAGAACCTTCAGAAACGACTGCAGAACCTGAGCTCCGCCCCTTTACCTGAAGACCACGCCCCCCTCAACCACAGCTCAGGTGACAGGGAGAGCACCTGACACACCGGGAGAGCACCTGACACACACGGGGAGAGCACCTGACACACTGACACACACGGGAGAGCACCTGACACACACGAGGAGAGCACCTGACACACACGAGTGACACACACGGGGAGAGCACCTGACACACACGGGAGAGCACCTGACACACGGCACCTGACACACACACGACGAGAGCACCTGACACACACGGGAGAGCAGACACACTGACACACACGAGGAGAGCACCTGACACACAGAGCACCTGACACACGGGGAGAGCACCTGACACACACGGGAGAGCACCTGAGAGAGAGCACCTGACACACACGAGGAGAGCACCTGACACACAGGGAGAGCACCTGACACACGGGAGAGCACCTGACACACACGAGGAGAGCACCTGACACACACGGGAGAGCACCTGACACACACGAGGAGAGCACCTGACACACACGAGGAGAGCACCTGACACACACACACCGGGGAGAGCACCTGACACACACCTGACACACAGGGAGAGCACCTGACACACACAGGGAGGGCACCTGACACACGAGGAGAGCACCTGACACACACGAGGAGAGCACCTGACACACACGAGGAGAGACCTGACACACACCTGACACACACGAGGAGAGCACCTGACACACACGAGGAGAGAGACACCTGACACACACACACACCTGGGGAGAGGGACACCTGACACACACGAGGAGAGCACCTGACACACACACACCTGACACACGGGAGAGCACCTGACACACACAGAGCACCTGACACACACGAGGAGAGCACCTGACACACACGAGGAGAGCACCTGACACACACGAGGAGAGCACCTGACACACAGAGGAGAGCACCTGACACACACGAGGAGAGCACCTGACACACACGAGACACCTGACACACACGAGAGAGGAGAGCACCTGACACACACGACACCTGAGAGAGCACCTGACACACACGAGGAGAGCACACACCTGACACACACGGGAGAGCACCTGACACATGACACACACAGGAGAGCACCTGACACACACAGGGAGAGCACCTGACACACACGAGGAGAGCACCTGACACACACGAGGAGAGCACCTGACACACACGAGGAGAGCACCTGACACACACGAGTGACACACACGAGAGAGCACCTGACACACACGAGGAGAGCACCTGACACACACGAGGAGAGCACCTGACACACACGGGAGAGCACCTGACACACACGAGAGCACCTGACACACACACACCTGACACAGGAGAGCACCTGACACACACGAGGACCTGAGCACCTGACACACACACACACTGACACACACGAGGAGAGCACCTGACACACACGGGAGAGCACCTGACACACACGTGACACACACGAGGAGAGCACCTGACACACACGAGGAGAGCACCTGACACACACGAGGAGAGCACCTGACACACACACGACACACACGAGAGAGCACCTGACACACACACAGACACACGGGAGAGCACCTGACTGATGTGACACACATCTGATGTTCTTCTGAGATGTTGACTTCTGATGTTCTGATCTGATGTTCTTCTGATTCTTCTGTTCTTCTGATGTTCTGATCTGATGTTCTTTCTTCTGATGTTCTTCTGTTCTTCTGATGTTCTTCTGATGTTCTGATGTGATGTTCTTCTGTTCTTCTGTTCTGTTGCAGACTTCTCTCTGTCTGAGGTTCTCAGAGATCCGCCTTCGTTCCGGAAGTTTCTCGTGTCAAACTTGTCTCTGAGCCAATCAGAGGCCTCGTTTCTCCTGGACACGCCCCTCAGCTCTTCTCAGGTAACGTCACCCTCCCTCCTCCACTTTTTCAGCAGCTCCGTCTTTCCCAAGCCAATTTTCTGTGAGAAACACTGACGATGTTTTTCGTTGTTTAAACTTGAATAAAACTAAAATGTTCAGAGACACGATAAAACATCCTCGTCATGTTTAATGAAGCAAAAATCCACCTTTATTTTGTGATTTATGAACCACGTCTGTGGACTCGGGTCGTGAAGATTTGTGACTTTTAAAATATGAGTCTCCAGAAAAAAAGTTTGGGAGACGCTGTGTTGGACCCAAAAGACTCAGACTCGATAAAACTCCTCGTCAACGTGGTCGGGTCAGAGTCACGAGTTCACAGGAAATAATTTAAGAAAATATCTCACGTACAATCATGGAGGAGTTCGAATTTTCTGTTGCGTTATCACAGAGAAAAGATTCTAAAGTCCTGACTGTTTAGAGCCGACATGTCAAACTCAGGCCCGGGGGCCAAATTTAGCCCACGATAGAATTATATTTGGCCCACGAGATCAAATCAAATGTGTATTAGAGCCGCCGCTGCCGCACACAGACTGACTTTAGAGACATGATTTATTTAAAATGTTGTTATTATTTTATATTCTGTTTGTTCTGGATTCAGTGGATGAAACATTTATTTTAATTTGAAAAGGTTTAACATCACACATCTCCAAAGAAGAGAAAACATGCAGATGTGGAAATTTTTCAATAAATATTTAGTTTGGCCCACTACTTAGTCCCAGTTTTTAATTTTGGCCTCTGTGAGTTTGACTCTCCTGGTTTAGAGGAGTTGTTCATTTTCAGTTAAGAAAAAGTTTTGTGAATGACACAAATGTTCATAAGAAGAACTTAACTACAATTTTGTTTGTAAGAACGTTTCACGAATGACGCTCAATGTTTTTACAACGATCGGAGCGTCATAAAAATTCTGTGTCGTCTTTCACACTTAAGTCTCTGAGCAGCTTTTTAAAATCATCGTCCAGATTATTTATCGTTACCAAAATCTTCATTCAGTTCATCTGCTCCAGAAGCACCTCGGTCACGTTACGACGACGGAAGAAAAGGGTCAGATAAAAACAACAACAACACGCTGGTGCTACGAGAATAAAGTCGTAACATTTCGACATTAAAGTCGTAATATTATGAGAATAAAATCATAATTTGTTGAGAATAAAGTCATATTTTTATGAGAATAAAGTTGTGTCAAAATAAAGTGTTAATATCAGGAGAATCTCAGCGGCTCGTGGAGAATTTGGAGCATTTTGTAAAGGAGAAGAATCTGTGTATCATTCGTTCATTCGACTGAACAAGGACTGAACCGGGACTAAACCAGAACTAAACCAGGACTAAACCAGGACTAAACCAGGTCCAGAACCAAACCAGAAAGACCAGGACTGAGTCCTGGTTTAGTCCTGGTTTAGTCCTGGTTTAAGTCACGGAAATGGGAAATGGCGTTTCTGTGACTTTAAAATGTGATGCAGAACTGAACCAGGACTAAACCAGGACTGAACCAGGACTGAACCAGACTGAACAGAACAGGACTAAAACCAGGACTAAACCAGGACTGAACCAACCAGGACTAAACCAGGACTGAACCAACAGGACTAAACCAGGACTAAACCAGGACTGAACCAGAACTGAACCAGGACTGACTAACCAGGACTGAACCAGGACCAGGACTAAACCAGGACTGAACCAGGACTAAACCAGGACTAAACCAGGACTAAACCAGGACTGAACCAGGACTAAAACCGGACTGAACCAGGACTAAACCAGGACTGAAACCAGACTGAACCAGGACTAAACCAGGACTGAACCAGGACTAAAGGACTGAACCAGGACTGAACCAGGACTAAACAGGACTAAACCAGGACTAAACCAGGACTAACCAGGACTAAACCAGACTACCAGGACTAAACCAGAACCAAACCAGAAAGACCAGGACTGAGTCCTGGTTTTCCTGGTTTAGTCCTGGTTTAAGTCACGGAAATGGGAAATGGCGTTTCTGTGACTTTAAAATGTGATGCAGAACTGAGGACTAAACCAGGACTGACCAGACTAAACCAGGACTGAACCAGAACTGAAACCAGGACTAAACCAGGACTAAACCAGGACTGAACCAGAACTGAACCAGGACTAAACCAGGACTGAACCAGGACTAAACCAGGACTAAACCAGGACTAAACCAGGACTGAACCAGGACTAAACCAGGACTGAACCAGGACTAAACCAGGACTGAACCAGGACTGAACCAGGACTAAACCAGGACTGAACCAGGACTGAACCAGGACTGAACCAGGACTGAACCAGGACTAAACCAGGACTAAACCAGGACTGAACCAGGACTAAACCAGGACTGAACCAGGACTAAACCAGGACTAAACCAGGACTAAACCAGGACTGAAACCAGGACTAAACCAGGACTGAACCAGGACTGAACCAGGACTAAACCAGGACTAAACCAGGACTAAACCAGGACTGAACCAGGACTAAACCAGGACTAAACCAGGACTGAACCAGGACTGAACCGTTTTCAGTCCTGGTCTGGTCCCGGTCTGGTCTCAGTCCCGGTCTCGGACCTCGTTTAGTCCTGGTTCAGTGCGGACGCGCAAATAATGAAGAAAATTGTTGTTTTTTCGTTTTCTTATTTTTGGTTTTATATTGAAAAACAAGTTTCTTCTTCTGACGCATTTTTCACTTTGACTTTGATTTTATTACGACTTTTTCTGGCTTCAACCTCTGACCTCTGACCTCTGACCTCTGCTCCTCAGGTTCACCGTCTCGTTTTCGGCTCGTCGCAGAGAGACGACGTCAGCAGGAGCCGCAGAGGAACCACAACCTCGACCACCGGAGCAAAGATCCACCACCTACAGGTCAGAGCTGCACTCGAGAACAAACCGTCATGTTCTGATGTTCTGATGTTCTGTTGTTCTGATGTTCTGATGTTCTGATGTTCTGATGTTCTGATGTTCTGATGTTCTGATGTTCTGATGTTCTGATGTTCTGTTGTTCTGATGTTCTGATGTTCTGTTGTTCTGTTGATGTTCTGATGTTCTGATGTTCTGTTCTCTTCTGATGTTCTGATGTTCTGATGTTCTGATGTTCTGATGTTCTGTTCTGATGTTCTGATGTTCTGTGTGTTCTGATGTTCTGATGTTCTGTGTGTTCTGATGTTCTGTTGTTCTGATGTTCTGATTCTGATGTTCTGATGTTCTGATGTTCTGATGTTCTGTGTCTGTATGTTCTGACGTTCTGATGTTCTGATGTTCTGATTTCTGTTCTGATGTTCTGTTGTTCTGATGTTCTGATGTTCTGTTCTGATGTTCTGATGTTCTGATTGTTCTGATGTTCTGTTTCTGATGTTCTGATGTTCTGATGTTCTGATGTTCTGTTCTGATGTTCTGATTTCTGATGTTCTGATGTTCTGATGTTCTGATGTTCTGTGTGTTGTTCTGTTGTTCTGATGTTCTGATGTTCTGATGTTCTGATGTTCTGATGTTCTGATGTTCTGATGTTCTGATGTTCTGATGTTCTGATGTTCTGATGTTCTGATGTTCTGATGTTCTGATGTTCTGATGTTCTGATGTTCTGATGTTCTGATGTTCTGATGTTCTGACTGCTGTTCTGATGTTCTGATGTTCTGATGTTCTGATGTTCTGATGTTCTGATTTCTGTGTTCTGGTGTTCTGATGTTCTGTTTCTGATGTTCTGATGTTCTGATGTTCTGGTGTTCTGTTCTGATGTTCTGATGTTCTGATGTTCTGATGTTCTGATGTTCTGATGTTCTGATGTTCTGATGTTCTGATGTTCTGATGTTCTGATGTTCTGGTGTTCTGATGTTCTGATGTTCTGGTTTTCTGGTGTTCTGATGTTCTGATGTTCTGATGTTCTGATGTTCTGATGTTCTGATGTTCTGATGTTCTGATGTTCTGATGTTCTGATGTTCTGATGTTCTGATGTTCTGATGTTCTGATGTTCTGATGTTCTGTTGTTCTGATGTTCTGATGTTCTGATGTTCTGATGATCTGTTCTGATGTTCTGATGTTCTGATGTTCTGATGTTCTGATGTTCTGTTGTTCTGATGTTCTGATGTTCTGTTCTGATGTTCTGATGTTCTGTTGTTCTGATGTTCTGATGTTCTGATTGTTGATTTCTGATGTTCTGATGTTGTTGTTCTGATGTTCTGATGTTCTGTTCTGATGTTCTGTTTCTGATGTTCTGATGTTCTGATGTTCTGATGTTCTGATTGTTCTGATGTTCTGTTGTTCTGATGTTCTGATGTTCTGATGTTCTGATGTGTTCTGATTGTTCTGATGTTCTGATGTTCTGATGTTCTGTTCTGATGTTCTGTTTCTGATGTTCTGATGTTCTGAATGTTCTGATGTTTCTGATGTTCTGTTGTTCTGATGTTCTGATGTCTGTTCTGATGTTCTGATGTTCTGATGTTCTGATTGTTCTGATGTTCTGTGTTCTGATGTTCTGATTGTTCTGATGTTCTGATTTCTGTTGTTCTGATGTTCTGTTGTTGTTCTGATGTTCTGATGTTCTGATGTCTGATGTCTCTGTTCTGATGTTCTATCTGATGTTCTGATGTTCTGATGTTCTGATGTTCTGATGTTCTGATGTTCTGATGTTCTGATGTTCTGTGTTCTGATGTTCTGATGTTCTGTTTCTGAATGTTCTGATGTTCTGATGTTCTGATGTTCTGATGTTCTGATGTTCTGTTGTCTGATGTTCTGATGTTCTGATGTTCTGTTCTGTTCTGATGTTCTGATGATTCTGTTCTGTTCTGATTGTTCTGATGTTCTGATGTTCTGTTCTGATGTCTGATGTTCTGATGTTCTCTGATGTTCTGATGTTGTTGTCTGATGTTCTGATGTTCTGATGTTCTGATGTTCTGATGTTCTGTGATGATGTTCTGTTCTGATGTTCTGATGTTCTGATTGTGATGTTCTGTTGTTCTGATGTTCTGATGTTCTGATGTTCTGATGTTCTGTTGTTCTGATTGTTCTGATTGTTCTGATGTTGTCTGATGTTCTGATGTTCTGAATGTTCTGAATGTTCTGTTGTTCTGTTGTTCTGATTGTTCTGATGTTCTGATGTTCTGATGTTCTGATGTTCTGATGTTCTGATGTTGTCTGATGTTCTGATGTCTGATGTTCTGTGTTCTGTTGTTCTTGTGTTCTGATGATCTGTTGTTCTGATGTTCTGATGTTCTGATGTTCGTTCTGATGTTCTGATTTCTGATGTTCTGATGTTCTGATGTTGATGTTCTGGTTCTGATGTGTTCTAAATGTTCTGATGTTCTGATGTTCCTCGATGTTCTGTTCTGATGTTCTGATGTTCTGTTGTTCTGATGTTCTGATGTTCTGATGTTCTGATGTTCTGATGTTCTGATGTTCTCATGTCCTGCAGGAGGCGCTGCTGGGCGGGGTGCGGGCTCTGGACGCGGGGCTCTTGGACCGGGCTCTTCTGGATCCCGGCGCCGCCCAGAGACCAGCCCTGACCCGGATCATGTCCAGAGTCCTGGGCCTGACCGAACCCAAGGACCAAGACCAGCAAGAACTGAAAGAGGCTCAGGTACAGACGGGGCTAACCACTCTGCCACTCACAACCAAACCAGGACTGAACCAGGACTGAACAGGACTGAACCAGGTCTAAACCAGGACTAAACCAGGACTAAACCAGGTCTAAACCAGGACCAGGACTAAACCAGGACTAAACCAGGACTAAACCAGGACTAAACTAAACCAGGACTAAACCAGGTAAACCAGGACTAAACCAGGACTAAACCAGGACTAAACCAGGACTAAACCAGGACTAAACCAGGACTAAAACCAGGACTAAACCAGGTAAACCAGGACTAAACCAGGTCTAAACCAGGACTAAACCAGGACTAAACCAGGACTAACCAGGTCTAAACCAGGTCTAAACCAGGACTAAACCAGGACTAAACCAGGACTAAACCAGGTCTAAACCAGGACTAAACCAGGACTAAACCAGGACTAAACCAGGTCTAAACCAGGACTAAACCAGGACTAAACCAGGACTAAACCAGGACTAAACCAGGTCTAAACCAGGACTAAACCAGGACTAAACCAGGACTAAACCAGGACTAAACTAAACCAGACTAAACCAGGACTAAACCAGGACTAAAACCAGGTCTAAAC